AGTAAAGACCTAAACATCCCACAGGTGCGTTCACTCTTAAAAAGAGGGTTCTTCAAGGGTTCTTTAGTAAAGAAAAAGATTCTTTATAGAAGCATGAACACTTAAAGAACGCTTTGCTTGCTTAAGTGGTTCTTTACATGGTGAAATGGCTCTTCAGATTGATGGAGAATGTGCTATAGGCCCAGATAGCAATGAAATTTTGGCCCAAATGTGGCCCACTTCTGCAGTTCTCTTATGGCCCACATTTGGCCTTGATGTACAGCGTTGACTCGGGGTGAGTCTGGCTGCCTCAACGCAGCCACAGGTCCACCAAACATGGGCCAAATCTGGGCCAAATAAATTTACCATATGCTCACCTTACATGGGCCATGTCTGGGCCAAATCTGGGCCAAATAAATTTACCATATGCTCACCTTACATGGGCAATGTCTAGGCCAAATCAGGGCCAAAGGACTTAACCTCAGCTTCACTTTATATGGGCCGGATGTCACATGTTGTGGACCAGATCCGTACCAAATTAAATTTACCATACACTCACCCTACATGGGCCAGGTCAGGGCCGAATCAGGGCCAAAGAACTTAATCTCAGCTTCATCTAAAATGGGCCAGATCAGGGACATACCATACACTTACCCTACATCGGCCATGTTATGGGCCAGATGAAAGTACCATGTTATGGGCTGTACGTCAGGCACCGCAGCCGGCATTTCAACGTTTATTTATGGTTGAGTCAATATTGTGAATCAAGGTTAAATCATCTTTTAATTTTGGTTAGCTTTTCAAAAGTGAATCAACGAAGGTGGACATAGCATAACAATCAACAGTTTGCTGCAGTTTTCAGAACATGATGTGCATTATCATTTATTAAGCCAGTATATACTGTATTGCTTTGTACAGAATCTAATCTCAGCTGTGTGTCAGTGCGTTACCTTTATTACAGTTTCTCAAAGAAATCTGCAGACACACCTCCAAAGTTCAGTCTTAGATGTTGGTTTAGCCCAGGGGTCGGCGACATGCGGCTCTGCAGCTGCATGTGGCTCTTTTACTGCCCTGTTGCTCCACAGCTGAATCAGATTAGTAGGTAATAATAAAATAATCCTCCTTTACAGTAAAATAAAGCTCTGCTGATCGTTCAATACAGTTTAACAATAAATGGTCTTAAACTCTGGAGTTAATGTAGAACTGCTAACTCACCCTTTAACCCTGGAGATCAGTGCAGACTGCTGGTCTCCATAGCAACAGAGACAACAGTCTCATCTAGCTAGTAGCTAACGAAACGGCAAAGAGAGAGATTTAAGACGAACATCAATAATTTGGAGATTAATGGACTTATTTGCGTTCATAATTACTGCAGCTGGTTTCCTGATACGTTTAATCTGCAGCAAGAAACTGAACACTAAAAAAGTTGAAGCTGAAGTTGCTTCACATTCACCAGCTTCTTGTTCGAATTTTCTGGGACAGGAAAAATTGAACAAGAAGCTGGTGAATAAGAAGCGACTTCAGCCTCGTAAAAAGTCGAACGTTGAGAGACATTTTACAAGAAACTGTTCTACTTCTGAGGAAAAGTTTCCTGCTGGAGATGCGAGAAAATCAGCTGTAGCTGAGCCAAAGCTTAAAGCAGAGCAAAGTAAGTCTGAGTTTTCATTTATATTATATTTTTTAGTCTATATCAGCACAAACTGAGACATATTTACAGACAAGATGGTAAAATTGACATAAAATGTTGTGGCTCTCAAGGTGGTTTGATTTTTGTTGAAAGGACAAAATGGCTCTTCTCAGCATTTGGGTTGCGACCGCTGGTTTTAGCATTTCCTGAAGTAATTAAACACATTTAGTGATGTTGAGGTCTGGAATGGGACAGTTTTTGTGGTGTACGTGGGGCACCTTTAATCTCGAAACGTTTTCCACCACTTTGCTATGGTTTCCAGTTTCAATGACATGTTTCATCAAACGGTGAGAAACAGTGTGTAACGGGCACAAAATGGATTCTAATAAATGTACATTACAGTTGAAGATGTTAGACATGTTTTCATATTTAAACTCTTCGAAAAGAAAATTCTTTAAAAAGAACGCCAAGAATGGCCTTCTCAGCGGCCACAGCTGCTTGCGCTATATAACAGAGTCTTCAACGCAGAGTCTTCAACGCATCACCATTTCCATTTAAGGAAACGTTTTGCTGTGTGTTGTCAGGGCTGAATGCGGCTCAGGTCCTGCATGGTTGTTACAGCCTTCAAAAAATGGTTCTTCAAGGTTTCATCAGTAAATGCAATGGTCCAACTTAGAACCACGAACATTTGAACCAAGGACCATTTGAAAGCATTAATGGTTCTTTGCATGGTTAAATTGTTCTTTTCTATGATGGTTCTTTAAAGAACTCTTTTAAAATGGTTCTATGTAGCACTAAAAAAGGGTTCCACTATTGTTGAAGTCAAAGAACACTTTATCAGTACTATACAGAAGCGTTTTTGCTGAGTGTAGGACTTTTTGAACTCCAGGTTTGGTGTTTGATATTATATTTGACATTATATTCAGTTGTTTGTACTTAATGGTCATTTTGCCAGATAATTGAATAGAAAGGGTAAAATAAGTTTTTCCAGGTGAAAAGTTTGTATTTGTATCTTTTCATAACCGAATGTTTTAAAACAGAAGAATAAAATAAAAGCCTGGAGACGAGACTTTGTTTCTTTTTACTGCACTTACTGCACTTAAGTAAAATGATTATTATTTGTAAATACTGAGAAAAGTGCAAATTCATGAAAGATTTGCTGGAAAATACATGTAACTGAGTAACTGGAGCTGCTTACATACAAACACAGAGAGCAGACAAGACTGTTAAGCAACATTCAGTTCACATTCACATTCATTTAGTCGGAAACCAAAGCATTGCTAAACTGGCGTGTTGGTTCTTCTTCTGGCTGAGCTCGTCTATTTCACTCTCTGCTGGAGAGCAGATCTCATGTACTGCGGTTTTTGTCTTATTTGCATATTCTCTAGCATTCTTAGCCAGACTGTTATAATCTTTAAAAGTGTTGTTGAAAGTATATAGGTGTGAAGTTCTGACTGTTAAATTAGAACAATTAGTAAATGGTTAAATGTGGTCAAAGCAATACAAAAAAATCATGCAGTAAATGAAAAAGAACAGAAAAAATGGGGATGCCAATAATTTATCACATAATTCAGTGTGTGAGATGTAATCGGAGTGATTCAGAGTGGTTTGGTGTGAAATGGTTCAGATGTCTTTACAGTGGTGGTGATAGGAACCAGGGGTCGCCATGACTACAACACAAACATATACATCTCTTGCCTGTCAGTTAGTCTTTTCTTTATCATTTCTGTGAAGCACGGTGGTGGTAGTATCATGGTTTGGGCATTGGGCTATTTTGCTGCATCTGGGCCAGGACAGCTTGCCATAATAGATGGAACAATGAACTCTGAATGTCAATGTCAGGACATCAGTCTGTGAGCTGAAACTATATATATATATATATATATATAATAAAATATACAAAATATAATGAAAATATAATTTAAATAAATAAATACTATTTGGGTGGTGGATCATTCTCAGCACTGCAGTAACACTGACGTGGTGGTGGTGTGTTAGTGTGTGTTGCGCTGATCTGAGTGGATCAGACACAGCAGTGCTGCTGGAGTTTTTAAACACCTCAGTATCGCTGCTGGACTGAGAATAGTCCACCAACCAAAAACATCCAGCCAACAGTGTCCTGTGGGCAGCGTCCTGTGACCATTGATGAAGGACTAGAGGATGACCAACACAAACTGTGCAGCAGCAGATGAGCTATCGTCTCTGACTTTACATCTACAAGGTGGACTGACAAGGTAGGAGTGTCTAATAGAGTGGACAGTGAGTGGACACAGTGTTTAAAAACTCCAGCAGCACTGCTGTGTCTGATCCACTCAGACCAGCACAACACACACTAACACACCACCACCACGTCAGTGATACTGCAGTGCTGAGAATGATCCACCACCCAAATAGTACCTGCTCTGTGAGGGTCCATGGGGGTCCTGACCACTGAAGAACAGGGTAAAAGGGGGCTAACAAAGTATCAGAGAAACAGATCGACTATAGTCTGTAACTGTAGAACTACAAAGTGCACCTATACAGTAAGTGGAGCTGATAAAATGGACAATGAGCGCAGAAACAAGGAGGTGGTCATAATGTTATGCCTGATCGGTGTATATATATATATATATATATATATATATATATATATATAAAGATTTGGCTTGTATATAATCTTGCAAAGTCAGCACTGATCAGACACTCGCAGATAAAAAGACAAGGTTTAAGTTTTCTTGACTGCTTGGGACAGTTACAAAGAGCGCAGTCAGGACAGGCCAGGGTCAGTACCAGAGAGCAGGATGACCAAAACCAGTCCAGGATCGAAAACCAAGAGAGCAAATAATACACAGCAATCCAATCCAAAAGGGCAAACATAAAATGGCAGGTCATACAAAAAAAAGGCTTTTTAGACAAAAGACCACTCAGTATGTAACAAAAGGGGTTTGCAATGCTTCACAAAGAACTGAACTAAAGCCTGGGCTTTTATTCTAACTGACTAATGACATGAAATGACAGACAGGTGTGAAGGATTAGAACTCCGGTGAGGAGCAGCGCTGGGATGAATGTTTGTTGGTAGATGGTGATGGTATGGGAGTCATGTGATCTCCCACTGACTCATGGGAGTTGGAGTCCTCTACGCAGTCCATGTACTCGAGTGACTCTGTAGGAGAAAGAGAGCAGACAGAGGAGGCGTCCTCGGCAGGAGGCGTGGCAGATAACACTGATTAAACAGAAAACCAAATGTAAAACTAATAATCTTAAGTATCTGACAGTCTGTCTCAGAGAGTGAGAGAGGGGATTTGAGTTAAGTCTCAAAAACACTAAACACTGCCTCAAAACTCTAACTTACTTTAATTTCTTCTTCAGTCCTCACTGGTTTCTTTGATTTCATGTCTGTCCTCATATTTTCCAGGTGTTCTCTCAGACAGAGAATGGGGTGTGAATTATTCTGAGCCGATCTGCGCTGTGAGAGGATCTGATGTCATCATTTCCTGCACTTATTTCTACCCAAAGTCAGGGCATCAGGTGGAAAGAGTTCTCTGGTGCTCAATGAACTCAAATAAAGAAAAGTGTCATGACAGACCGTACGTTTATGACAGCTCTACTGCTGATTCAGGAGACTTTAACTATGTTGGGGACAAAAAATCAAACTGTACTTTATTAATCAGTAATGTACAGTTCAGTCACTCTGGAGAGTATAAATACAGATTTATAACTAATGTCGAGGCTGGCAAATGGACAGGTGACCCTGGAGTGACTCTTACAGTGGCAGGTAAATACTCAGATTAAAATAAAACTCCAAATTATTAATCTGTATTAAAAACACCTACTTTGTGCTTCCACTCTGTCCACTTTATTAGAAACACCCACCTTATAGTTCCACTATGCAGGTGTACAGCTTATCAGCCCTCCTCTACCCATTCATCACTGGTCAGTTTCTGACCACAGGGCTGCTGTTGTCCAGGTATTATATGGGTGGTAGTCCATTCTCAGCACAGCACAGCAGTGACACTGACATTGAACTAGGCTGAGAGTGGACCACCACCCAAAAACCTCCAGACAAGAGTAGCTCTGACCAAGACACAAACTGTACATCAACAGATGAGCTACAGTCTCTAACTGTTCACCAGCAATGTGGAGCTACAAGAGAGGGGTTTCTGATAAAGTGACCACATATAAAAAGGCATTATCATCTTCTCAATCATGCAGAATGTTCTAATGTGGTAATAAACTCTTAATAACGCACTCATGTGGACTCTTTCTGCTCTCTGAAAGTTCTGCAGGTGTCAATGATCAGACTGTCTGGAAACGGGACTCTAAAGGAAGGAGACTCTGTAAATCTGACTTGTGCTGTGAACTGCAGTCTCAGCTCTCCACAGTTTGTGTGGTTTAAGAACAGAGAGCGTTTACCTGAATCAGGCTCTGTTCTTCACCTTCCTGCTCTGACTGTGAGGAACTCTGGGAATTATTCCTGCACTTTGAAGAACTACGAGGACTTCACATCTGGAATGATCAGCCTTGATGTTGAAGGTGGGTCAATCTGCTTTGAATATTCCTGAAATTTAAAAATCTGCCTAAAAAACAACTAAATAAAAACCAGAGACTCTCTCAGTGCACACGGACCGACTATGGTCAATGATTTTTTATCAAATTAGATTTTATAGAAATTAACAAATATGCTAATTAACAAATACTTTGATACTTTGTGTCTTGGTGCACATTAAATGTGAGTTATCATTGAAGCAGTAGAACCCGAGAGGGAATGTGTTATTGTGAAATAACATCCCGGCTGTGATTTGGTCGCCATAGATCATCACAGCCGTGATGTTATTGGTGATAACACACTCCTCGAGTGTTCTACTGCTTTAATACAACAGTTAAATAAATAAAGTAATAAATTAATAAACTGGGCCGTGAACGCGGCGTTTAATGTTTTAATGTTCGCAGTTCCTTCACCAAATTATAGTTCCTTAACAAGCAGCTTGTTGCTACGTCAGAGTAACGAGCTCCGCCCACTCGCTGCACAGCCGGCATTCGCCAAAGGTGTAGTCTGATCTTCAGAGTCTGACCAAATCAGACTGAGCCATAAAACGGCCGCAATATCAAGTTCAGCTCAGTTTTGTCAGTTTTTGTCAGATCAGTATTAATGTTGTTTTGTTCCAGCCAGTCTGTAAAGCATCTTACAGTCCATTTAGTTTGGCGAATGGTGTTGGGTTCATTTCTGGCTGATTCCAGGTTGTTTAGCTGTTCTTCTGTCTCAGCTGCCGACTGAAAAGCTGCTCAGTGGTGATGACAGTTTGGGAGTTTAGTGTCGTCTCATCTTCAGAGTCTGACCAAATCGGCTGTCGGTCAAATGTGATCTTAAAAGTGTCCATTTTCTGTTTGTGGCAAAGTAAGAAGTAAAAACGTTCAAATGGCTTGAGCGTCTCCTACAACTGTCAAAGTCGTTGCTTAGCAATGGTGTCTCAGCGGAGTGATACAGTGTTTGTGATGTTATGGTGAAATAACAGCACAGTTAGTACACTTCTCAACCAGTCAGCTTGCGTGGCCGGAACTAACTGTTGTATAAACTGTTTATTGATTATCTAATGCTGTCAAGTCGGTCCCGTGTTTCTCCAGAACATTCCGTCTTCTCTTTGGTTCTTCACAGTTCTTAATGGCTTGTTCATGATTCCTCTGATCATCTCTGTCCATCTTGTAGATGTTCATCCTTTTCCTCTTTTGGCAACTAATTTAATAGTCGATTAGTTGGTGATGTCATCACGCGTGTTCCTCGCATTAACTAGGAATGTTCTGACATTATTGCTTACTAAAGAGTTAACAAAAGTGCGATGGCAGCCTCGATAACAAAAGTGTGGGAGCATTTCACGCTGAACTCAGAAAAAAGGTTGTCAGTTGTGCTGTTTGTAAAGCCGACTTTAGCTGCCGTGGGAGCACATCCTCCACATTGGAGCATCTGAAGAGGAAACACGTCGGCCCACTGGATGAAGAAGAGTAATCTCTGTAAGATTGTTGTTCTAGCGAGCTAGTTAGCCTACTGCAGGGGCCGCAACCCAAATGTTAAGAAGAGCCATTTTGTCATTTCAATAAAAATCAAACCACCTTGGGAGCCTCAACATATTATGTCCATTTTATTGAAGTAATGTTTCACCACTTTGGCTGTAAATATGTCTCAGTATGTGCTGATGCATTAGAATAGGCTAAAAAATATAATATAAACAAAAACACAGACGTACTTTGCTCTTCTTTAATCTTTAGCTCGGCTGTAGCTGCTTTTCTCACATCTCCAGCAGGAAACTTTTCCACAAAATTAGAACAGTTTCTTGTAAAATGTCTCTCAATGTTCGACTTTTTACAAGACTGAAGTCGCTTCTTATTCAAATTTTCCTGTTCCACCTTAAATGGTGCCTGAGGCGCCAGTATGTAGCTAACTATGTAGCTAACTCTTGCACCATTTAAGGTGGAACGAGAAAATTCGAACAAGAAGCTGGCGAATGAAAAGCGACTTCAGCCTTGTCACTTTTTAGTGTTTGTCAGTTTCTTGTTGCAGATTAAACATATCAGTAAACCAGCTGGAGTGATTATAAATGCAAATAAGCCTGTTTTTCTCCAAATTATCGGTGTTTGTTTAAATCCAAAGCTAAGCTGGCCACTTTTCACTGGCTTTTAAAACTGTCCACCAGAGTAGGATGGGTTCCCCTTTTGAGTCTTGGCTCCTCTCAAGGTTTCTTCCTCTTGCTTTTAGGGAGTCCTTGCCACGGTTGCCATTGGCGACACTCATGGAGGCTCAGACACAAATCATCGGGAAAGAGAGCTCATTGTTCTGCCTGCCCCTCACTGCCTGGATCGAACGTGAGGTGTAGTGAAGCAGCCTCGCTACAGAACAGGAGGCGGGGCCTGGGTGGCAAAGTTCGGGTGCTGTAGTCAGTGAGGCACATTTTTTAACCCTCTGGGGTCGTTTTCTCGATTTGTTCATCTCTTCTTAAACTCTCCTTTAAAGGCTTTTCATATAACATGATCCTCATATGTTTCATATGAAAATGAATAACTCTGGATGTGAGTCTCATATGATCTCGTGATAAGATGGAATGGAAAGGGCGACTCTCTCTCTCTGTCCTTTAGCTCTTTAGCATTAGCTCATGTTAAGAGGTGGCCTCCATCACTGCGTCCACTTCTTCCAACACTAAAATTTGCCCAGTTCCTAAAAAATTTCCTTGGAGTGATTAAAGTAACATGTCTTCCTGGGGCTGTATTACAGAAACTTAACCTAATCTGACAGGTCAAAATAAGATTTTTCACAAATTCGCCTTACAGAAGTAAATCTGGTCTTAATTTAGGGATCTTATCTTATTTTACAGCATCTTATCTCAAGTTAGGAAATCCTAAACCACTCGATCGAAGTCGACAGTCAACTGTCATGTCTGTTACCTAGCAACCGACAATCTACACACAGCTGAAAGGTAAAGACGTAATCAACATAATCAAGTTAGTCAGTCAGACAGCTGCAGTTACTGATGTAAAAAAGGTCAAAACAAAGATAAAGTGTGCTAAACTGTAAGTGGTGAACACTGTGTGAGCGCCCCCTGCTGTTTATCAGAGCGTCGCCGCTCCTCAGTTTCAGTCTCCATTTCCCAAACGCTTTAGCCGAGCGCACTAACGTTACTCCTCATAATAAACAGACACACGTTCAGCTCCGTCTCCTCATTATTCACCACCATCACTGTAATATTTCATCATCAACATTAACACACGAAGGTGATCAGAGGGGCGGTGGAGATCGAGTCTGCAGCGTCTGAGATCTTTAAAACGCAGAGTTAGAAAAGAAAATCATCTCACAGTGAAAGCAGCGTTTTACAGTAGAAATAAATGGAGCTCATTATGCTGGTAGTGAACTATGCTGCTGACACAGCTGCCTAAAAACCATAGAAACGGACCTTAAACAGAAGTGAGGACCCTGTTGGGGTTCATCCTAAAGTTAGGACAGGATTTAGGAGGTTTAGTCTAGTTAGGATGTTTGTGTGATGCTGTTTTCTTATCTGGAGTTGATGATGAGATTATGAAGGTAGGAACTGTTATTCTGGAGTAGATACGGTCTGAAATTCATTCGTACTGAAGTCGTCATGGAGACTTAACAGAAAAGATTTCAGACCTAAGAAGTTTCTGTAATGCGGCCCCAGATGTGGTCAGACAGCACAGTTTAAGTATCAGCATAAAATCCTGTGGTAGTTTTCTGTCTGTCTGCCTCCTCGTAATGGTGTGAAGGGGAGGGCACAGCTGTGGTGTTTGGGTTTGTTCTTCTTTAGAAGCAGTTTTTTTGTAAGGAACAGCACTTTAAGTTCCCACAGAGATACACACACAAAGCACTCACAGAACCCGCACTGCTGGCTGAGAAGTGGCTCGCGGTCCAGAGGAGAGATGAAGACGCTGCACCTTTTGGTTCCGACTCTGCTCACACTGACCGGTATGGATTATTACCACTCTTTTAGTTTCCTACATGCAGAGGAGGGCAGAGTCGCCTAAAATAGTCTAACAAAACAAAGAAAGGAAGGTCTGAGCGAGTGTGAAGAACCTTTTTAACCCCTTAAATTTCCTGAGTGTTTTAACTGGTGATACTTCCATTCTAATACAGTGAGGGGAAACAAGAACTCAGACACTTTGGTTTGTGTTTAGTTAAGGTCAGAAAATAAATCAAACTCTACATTGCTACATATTAATGCTGCAAAATAAAAACAAAATGTTATTAAACATCATTATTAAAGATGTTGCCATTGGTTAAGAAGATTTCACACAACCCATAATGAATAATGAAAGTGGAGCTTCTTAAAGTAACGTTATTAAAAAGCTGCAGAGCCCTAGTAAAAACCTAAACATCCCACAGGTGCGTTCACTCTTAAAAAGAGGGTTCTTCAAGGGTTCTTTAGTAAAGAAAAAGATTCTTTATAGAAGCATGAACACTTAAAGAACGCTTTGCTTGCTTAAGTGGTTCTTTACATGGTGAAATGGCTCTTCAGATTGATGGAGAATGTGCTATAGGCCCAGATAGCAATGAAATTTTGGCCCAAATGTGGCCCACTTCTGCAGTTCTCTTATGGCCCACATTTGGCCTTGATGTACGGCGTTGACTCGGGGTGAGTCTGGCTGCCTCAACGCAGCCACAGGTCCACCAAACATGGGCCAAATCTGGGCCAAATAAATTTACCATATGCTCACCTTACATGGGCCATGTCTGGGCCAAATCCGGGCCAAATAATTTTACCATATGCTCACCTTACATGGGCCATGTCTGGGCCAAATCCGGACCAAATAAATTTACCATATGCTCACCTTACATGGGCCATGTCTGGGCCAAATCAGGGCCAAAGGACTTAACCTCAGCTTCACTTTATATGGGCCGGATGTCACATGTTGTGGACCAGATCCGTACCAAATTAAATTTACCATACACTCACCCTACATGGGCCAGGTCAGGGCCGAATCAGGGCCAAAGAACTTAATCTCAGCTTCATCTAAAATGGGCCAGATCAGGGACATACCATACACTTACCCTACATCGGCCATGTTATGGGCCAGATGAAAGTACCATGTTATGGGCTGTACGTCAGGCACCGCAGCCGGCATTTCAACGTTTATTTATGGTTGAGTCAATATTGTGAATCAAGGTTAAATCATCTTTTAATTTTGGTTAGCTTTTCAAAAGTGAATCAACGAAGGTGGACATAGCATAACAATCAACAGTTTGCTGCAGTTTTCAGAACATGATGTGCATTATCATTTATTAAGCCAGTATATACTGTATACTTTGTACAGAATCTGATCTCAGCTGTGTGTTAGTGAGTCACTCTTTACCTTTATTACAGTTTCTCGAAGAAATCTGCAGACACACCTCCAAAGTTCAGTCTCAGAAGTTGGTTTAGCCCAGGGGTCGGCAACACGCGGCTCTGCAGCTGCATGCGGCTCTTTTACTGCCCTGTTGCTCCACAGCAGAATCAGATTAGTAGGTAAAAATAAAATAATCCTCCTTTACAGTAAAATAAAGCTCTGCTGATCGTTCAACACAGTTTAACAATAAATGGTCTTAAACTCTGGAGTTAATGTAGAACTGCTAATTCACCCTTTAACCCTGAAGATCAGCACAGACTGCTGGTCACCATAGCAACACAGACAACAGTCTCACCTAGCTAGTAGCTAACAAAAAGGCAAAGAGAGAGATTTAAGACAAACGTTGATAATTTGTAGATGAATGGACTTATTAGTGTTTATAATCACTCCAGCTGGTTTCCTGATACGTTTAATCTGCAACGAGAAACTGACAAACACTAAAAAGACGAGAAGCTGAAGTTGCTTCACGTTCACCAGCTTCTTGTTCGAATTTTCTGGGACAAGTAAAAATTGAATAAGAAGCTGGTGAATAAGAAGTGACTTCAGCCTCGTAAAAAGTTGAACGTTGAGAGACATTTTACAAGAAACTGTTCAACTTCTGAGGAAAAGTTTCCTGCTTCCGCTTCCTGGTTCCGACCCCTGGTTTAGCATTTTCTGAAGTAATCAAACACATTTAGTGATGTTGAGGTCTGGAATGGGACAGTTTTTGTGGTGTACCTGGGGCACCTTTAATCTCGAAACGTTTTCCACTATTTTGCTAAGGTTTCCAGTTTCAATGACGTTTCATCAAACGGTGAGAAACAGTGTGTAACGGGCACAAAATGGATTCTAATAAATGTACGCTACAGTTGAAGATGTTAGACGACATGTTTTCATATTTAAACTCTTCAAAAAGAAAATTCTTTAAAAAGAACACCAAGAATGGCCTTCTCAGCGGCCACAGCTGCTCGCGCTATATAACAGAGTCTTCAACGCATCACCATTTCCATTTAAGGAAACGTTTTGCTGTGTTTTGTCAGGGCTGAATTTCTCAGGTCCTGCATGGTTTTAACACTCTTCAAAAAATGGTTCCTCAAGGTTTCATCAGTAAATGCAATGTACCAATTTAGAACCATGAACACTCAAAGGACCATTTGAAAGCATAAATGGTTCTTTGCATCATTTGTTCTTTTCTATGATGGTGCTTTAAACAGCCCTTCTAAAATGGTTCTATGTAGTAGTAAAAAAGGGTTCTACTATTGCTGAAGTCAAAGAACCTTTAATCAGTACTATACAGAAGCTTTTTGCTGAGTGTAGGAGTCCCATTTTCTCTGTAGATTTGAATAAGTTTTTGAACTCTAGCTTTGGAGTTTGGTATTATATTGGTATTATACATCATATTCAGTTGTTGAGGCTTCTTTTTCCTGGTGCTGAAAACTGAATAGTTTGTACTTAATGGTCATTTTGACAGAAGATTGATTGGAAAGGGTGGTCTCGGACTTTTGCACTGTACTGTACTTCAGTACAAGTATTATCATTTGTAAATACTGAAAAAAGTGCAAATCCATGAAAGATTTGCTGGAAAATACATGTAACTGAGTAACTGGAGCTGCTTACATACAAACACAGAGAGCAGACAAGACTGTTAAGCAACATTCAGTTCACATTCACATTCATTTAGTCGGAAACCAAAGCATTGCTAAACTGGCGTGTTGGTTCTTCTTCTGGCTGAGCTCGTCTATTTCACTCTCTGCTGGAGAGCAGATCTCATGTACTGCAGTTTTTGGTCTCATTTGCATATTCTCCAGCATTCTTAGCCAGATTAAAAATCTGTTATCTTTAATAGTGTTATTGAAAGTATGTAGGTGTGTAGTCAGTTTGTTTTCCTAAGCTCTGTTTGTATACACCAGGGGTCAGTAACCCAAATGTGAAGAAGAGCCATTTTGTCCTTTTAACAAAAATCAACTTTCTTTGGGAGCCACAACATTTTATGTCCATTTATTGAAGTAACCTTTTACCATGGTGGCTGTAAATGTGTCTCAGTATGTGCTGATGTACGAGCATAGGCTAAAAACATAATATAAACAAAAACACAGACTTCTGAGTTTATATGGAATGTTGATGATGGAAAATAGTGGAAAATCTGAAATAATAAGTTTTCTTTGGGGACTATTTTGCCTCGCAGCGCCCTGCATGTATAAATGCATAATGTATAAATAACTATATACATATCTATAAATAGTTTTATCATATAAAGATTTGCCTTGTATCCTGCCATTGATAACACTGATTAAAAAGAAAACCAAATGTAATACTAATTAATCTTAAATACTTTGATAGACTGTCTCATTTGAATTAAAAGTCTCAAACACTAAACACTGCCTCATAATTCTAACTTATTTTAATGTTCTTCTTTAGTCCTCACTGATTTCTTTGATTTTATGTCTGTCCTCATATTTTGCAGGTGTTCTCTCAGACAGTAAATGGGGTGTGAAATATCCTGAGCCGATCTGCGCTGTGAGAGGATCTGATGTCATCATTTCCTGCACTTATTTCTATCCTGGTTTAGAGCGTCAGATGAAAAGAGTTCTCTGGTGCTCAGTGAACTCAAATAAAGAAAAGTGTCATGACGGACCGTACATTTATGACAGTAACTCTACTGCTGATTCAGGAGACTTTAAGTATGTTGGGAACAAAACATCAAACTGTACTTTATTAATCAGTAATGTACAGTTCAGTCACTCTGGAGAGTATAGATTCAGATTTATAACTAATGACAGCTGGACAGGTGACCCTGGAGTGACTCTTACAGTGGCAGGTAAATACTCAGATTAAAATTGATTAAAATTAAGATCCAAATTATTAATCTGTATTAGAAACACCTACTTTGTAGGTGTACAGTTCACCCCTCCTCTACCCATTCATCACTGGTCAGTTTCTGACCACAGGACTGCTGTTGTCCAGTTATTTTTTGGGTGGTGGTCCATTCTCAGCACAGCACAGCGATGACACTGACACTCAACAAGGCTGAGACTGGAGCTCCACCCAAAAATTTCCAGACAAAAGAGAATCTGTGGTCAGAAACTGATTAACCACAAGACACAAACTGTACATTAACAGATGAGCTATTGCCTCTAACTGTACACCAGCAAGAGAGGGGTTTCTGATAAAGTGGCCACGTATGAAAAGGCATTACTATCTTCTCAATCATGCAGAATGTTTTAATGTGGTAATAAACTCTTAATAACGCACTCATGTGGACTCTTCCTGCTCTCTGAAAGTTCTGCAGGTGTCGATGATCAGACTGTCTGGAAACGGGACTCTAAAGGAAGGAGACTCTGTAGATCTGACTTGTGCTGTGAACTGCAGTCTCAGCTCTCCACAGTTTGTGTGGTTTAAGAACAGAGAGCGTTTACCTGAATCAGGCTCTGTTCTTCACCTTCCTGCTCTGACTGTGTGGAACTCTGGGAATTATTCCTGCGCCTTGAAGAACTACGAGGCCGTCACATCTGAAATGATCAGCCTTGATGTTGAAGGTGGGTCAGCCTGCTCTGAATATTGTCTACAACACAAATACAGCCATTACAATTAAACTACCTGAAGTAAACTAAGTGAACTGGCTAGTTCAGTCATCGGTATGTTTATGAATATATGATTATATCTCCAGAATCTGTACAAAAATAAAATTTTTACCCTTTAAATGGTCAGGGCTCGCTGGTGGGCCCAGAGTTTTAATACACACTTCTATAACCTAGTCCATGTAGTTACTGATTAATAAGGCTTAGTATGACACAAGCCTGAGATTTTAAGGGGTTGAATCAGATTTTTATAGAAATTAACAAATGTTTGATTAATAAGCAGTGGTGTCCTTGACATCCTCAAGGCTGAAGCTTTTGTATTGGCTACAAAACATAGTGTTGCAGCGGCCATTGTTCATTAAAGAGCTGTTCTCCGATCAGAATCTTCTTTTGACCACTGTTACTATACACTAGCCTAGCTCACAGTAGCCTTAGCCCAGGGGTTGACAACATGCAGCTCTTTTACTCCCAGTTGCTCCACAGCTGAATTAGATTTGTAGGTAAAAATAAAATAATCCTCCTTTACAGTAAAATAAAGCTCTGCTGATCGTTCAACACAGTTTAACAGTAAATGGTCTTAAACTCTGGAGTTAATGTAGAACTGCTAATTCACCCTTTAACCCTGAAGATCAGCACAGACTGCTGGTCACCGTAGCAACACAGACAACAGTCTCACCTAGCTAGTAGCTAACGAAACAGCAAAGAGAGAGATTTAAGATGAACATCGATAATTTGTAGATGAATGGACTTATTAGTGTTTATAATCACTCCAGCTGGTTTCCTGATACGTTTAATCTGCAACGAGAAACTGACAAACACAAGCCGTGAGATTGAAGTCAGCTTCTCATTTGCCAGCTCTTTGAACTCTCCCGTTCCACCTTAAATGGTGCCTGTAACTGCGGAATGGGAAAATTCGAATTCTAAAAGTCAAACCATAAGAAACATTTTACAAGAAACTGTTCTGCTTTTGTGGAAAAGTTTCCTGCTGGAGATGTGAGAAATGCGGCTATAACGGAGCTATAAAGCTGAAAGCAGAGCAAAGTAAGTCTGCGTTTCATTTATATTATATGTTTTAGCCTATACTAGCACACGAGCACATATTGAGATTTATTTACAGCCAAGATGGTCAAATAGATGTAAAATGTTGTGGCTCTCAAGGTGGTTTGATTTTTGTAAAAAGGACAAAATGGCTGTTTTTTACATTTAGGTTGCGACCCCTGCCTTAGCCGGTTTGCAGTGCTAAATAAAAGCTACAGTGGAGACGTTTATTTTGCACTCTTAACTTTTTGTCTTGGCTCATATAAAGTAAATGTAATAAACCTTCATAAACCATCTACATTAAAAATGCTACAGGGACATTCACTGGAAAGAGGCCCCGAATATTCTGTAATAACTCTCTGCAGGACAAAGCAATCTGAAAGAAACAGCGTGCAATGTGTTCCTCAGTATATGGAGCTTCGAACAAGCTGAGATGTCGCAACATTTAACCTCCATTTGCAACTTCTGGGTGCATACCTCCCGTATCCCTTTATGTGTCTGGCAAAAAATGGAGATCACTTCCAGCATCGTGCGTAATGCAATTGATTACACATTCGTCAAGGTATGCAGCATAATTTTTCGTTCAGATTGCTTCATCCTAACGGGAGTTACAACAGAATATTCGGGGCCTCTTTCCAGTGAATCTCCCTGTATTTTCAGTGTAGAATATAAGCTGTTAAGACTAAAGCAATCGATGATATAAACACATTTTCCCAGCCGATGTATTGAGGTTGTGCCCGCTGGAAAAATATGGGTAACATTTACTTGTACAGTTCCTACGTTCTAGACATTAGGAGAGGGTATAGTACCAACTCCAAAGTACTGCATAGTTACTTTGTGTAACATGATGGTAAGTTCTGAGACAGTTTAACTACATTACACTGAAATGCCCCACAGGTTCTAGGTATTCCTTAAATAAGTCTGTGGTGCGATCTTCAAAGTGTTGTGTAATTATTTAGGGTAAAATGATAATAAGTACCAAGACTTTCTAATTAATTAAGCTCATAAAGCTTTTACACGGTGAAATGTCTCATAATTATTTGCAGTAATAAACTAGTCAGTGAAAACATTTCCACTGTAATGTCACACATTTAAGCAGGAAAATAAATCAGAAACACCTCCAAGTAGCAAGTAAGTTATATGGAGTAAAACAACGATATGAAACACAAAGATTTCATGTAAATGGTAAATGGTAAGAACCTAGTAGAACCAAAGAAATCACTTTCATTCATTTTAGTTTATGGCTCTTAAACAGCCACATGCTGTATAAGATTCTGTATTTTATTCATCTACAATCTTTCAAATGCTATAATAATTACACAGTACTGAAGTGTTTTCACCGCACACTTACTCAGATAATATCTAGAACCTGTTGCATCTCAGTGTAATTAAGTTACTTGCTTATCATCATGTTACCCACAATAATTGCCTACTTTGGAGTTTAACCTGTTGAACCCTTAAAGTCCGAGGTTTATAACATCCATCCATCCATCATCTAAACCGCTTATCCTTCTGGGTCGCGGTGTCATTGGGCGGAAGGCAGGATACACCCTGGACAGGTCGCCAGTCCATCACAGGGCAGACAGACAGACAGACATACACATTCACACACACACTCACACTCACACCTAGGGGCAATTCAGTATGTCCAATCAGCCTGACTGCATGTCTTTGGACTGTGGGAGGAAACCGGAGTACCCGGAGGAAACCCACGCAGACACAGGGAGAACAGGCAAACTCCACACAGAAATGACCCTGGTCGCCCGGCTGGGAATCGAACCCAGGCCATTCTTGCTGTGAGGCGACAGCGCTACCCACTGCACCACCGTGCCGCCCGGTTTAGAACATACTAAGGCTTATTATTCAGTAACTACAGGGGCTTCAATGCAAACTGGCTGAGCTATTCTTAGGTTACAGACTCTCAGAAATAAAGGTAGTGAACTACCACTGGGGAAGTGCCCCTCTTGTCATCTCAGTACCTTTAGTCAGGGAACATAACTGAACCATAATCCACTGAAATGATATGTTCTAAGCTGTACTGACTCCACACACCCCGTCTCGTCTCCAGGCTTTTATTTTACTGTTCTGTTTAAAACATTCGGTTATGAAAAGGTACAAATACGAACTTTTCACCTGGAAAAACTTATTTAAGATACACAATCAGACCTTAAAACCACTGTTGGAGCTTTGAGGGAACATTTACACTGTTTGTACCTTGATAAACAAAAATGTACCTGCACAGAACCTTTATTTCTAGCAGTGTAGCAGTGTGTAATAAATCTTTGGGCCTGCCGGCGGGCCCTGGTAATGTAAGGGTTTATTACCAAGAGCTTGCCATGTGGGTCGGTAAACTAAACTAACTGGTTAAACCAAAACCAAACCGTCATTGATAAATATTTGTTTCTTTCAACAGGTTTCACAGTTTTGTACATGGTTTCGATTGTCCTTGGAGTAATTCTGTTCATACTACTCGTGGCAATCTTAGTCGTAGTTTGCAAAAGGAGGTGAGACCGAACATATTTGCACTCATTACAAATGTATACAGTGTAAAACTAAAAGATGACAGCAAGTGTGTTATACTTTAATCAACCTATAGGATTCATAACTAAACTGAATACAACTGGATGTACTTTGACAAGTAACACTGAACGACTGTACAGCTAAATACAGATACTTTAATAGATTAGATTTGCTCTTCTAACATCAGATATTCAAAACATTCAAAATATTGGTTTAAATGTCTCTGTGGTCAGTAAAACAGTCTGCTTTTCTAATCAGAGACGTATCAGATGATGCTGGATGTCCTAGATGCTGTTCCTTCAACTGTATTTCACTGTGCACTCTTCTGCATCCATTAGGAAGAAGGCAAAAGCTCCAGAAGAAGACAGTAGAGGAGGTGGCGGGAAAACCCAGGTTAGACCCAGAAAAGCCTTTCTAGATTTAAGTTCTATGTGGCTGCAGTGCTACAGTTTACTCTAGCACACCTGGTTCAGTCTTACTGATCTGTTTATGCTCCACTCACAAATGTGCTATGATGCTAATGTAGCTAGCCCTCAATGTTAGCATATCAATCAAATGTTTAGCCCTAAAAACTGTGACAACATGACAAATGTATCCTGAGTGATCTTACACAAAGTAAGTCATTTAGCAGCTGCACACCAGCATCAAAATGCACAAGACCAGGCGCCAGATGGAGTGGAGTAAAGCGTCGCCACTGGACTCTGGAGCAGTGGAAATGTATTCTGTGGAGTGACCAATCACGCTTCTCTATCTGTCAGTCTGATGGACGAGTCTGGGTCTGGCGAATGCCAGGAGAACGTTACCTGCCTGACTGCACTGTGCCAGCTGTAAAGTTTGGTGGAGGAGGGATGATGATATGGGGCTGTTTTTCAGGGGTTGGTCTAGAACCCTTAGTTCCAGTGAAGGGAAATCTTAATACTTCTGCAGACCAAGACATTTTGGACAGTTCTATGCGTCCAGTTTATTTGGGGAAGAACATTTCCTGTTCCAGCATTGCTGAGCCCCAGTGCACAAAGCAGCTCCATAAAGGCCTGGCTGGGTGAGTTTGGTATGGAAGAACTTGACTGGCCCTCACAGAGCCCTGACCTCAACCCCATCAAACACCTTTGGGATGAACTTAAACGGGGATTGTGAGCCAGGCCCTCTCGTCCAACATCAGTGTCTGACCTCACAAGACAGACTCTCTCCAACATCTTGTAGAAGCTTCCCAGAAGAGTGGAAGCTGTTGTAGCTGCAAAGGGGGACCAACTCCATAATAATGCCTATGGATTTAGAATGGGATTCATAAAAGCTCCTGTAGGTGTGATGTGTAGTTGTCCCAATACTTTTGTCCATATAGTGTATGGGACCAGAACTCATCCCAGACTATCAGCACCTGTATATTTACGTTATGAACTAATGCTGATAGGTTATGTTATTTTAATAGATTGGTGAAAGAACGCATGATAAACAAACGGAGCTTCAGGATAACCAAGGTAATAAGGCTGCTGAAGCCCCGCTGCAGGAGAACGAAGTGACGTATGCCTCTGTGTGCAATAAACCTAATAAACCAAAAGAAAGGTAAGAACTAACATCATATATAATGTCGAAATCCTTTCTAGACATATTTGATTTGATATGAACCAAGAGAATTGTAGCAGACTGGGTAGAGGACTGTAGAAGTCCGTAAAGGACTTTATACCACACAAAAATACTTGGAACATCAGTTTAGAGATCTCTGTGGTTACTGATGTGTATGAGATCACACTGGATCTAACCGACGCTGCTTTTTCCTCTGTGCTTCTGCATCTATCAGGAAGGAAAAAGCTCAAGAAGAAGAAGACAACAGCCGAAGTGACTGGAAAAGCCAGGTTTGACCTAAAAAAAACTACTAAAACTCTAATCCTGTGTGAATGCAGTGCTGCAGTTTAGTGTTTTCCATGTTCAGCACATCAGGTTTAACCTGATAATTGCATTATCCAGGCTCCGCCTACAAATGTGGTCTTTCGTAGCTACTGTTGTGAGGTTGATTAGAAAATGTAGCGCGAGTTGTCAAATAACTAAATGTGTGTTATTTGAAATTATATTTAATTTGTATGATTTTTTTGTGGTGCAGTCAAACTTTTTACAGATAATTACCTGCTATTCTAAGCAGTGCTTAAGTGCTTCAGCTGTTTTAATCTTGCTAGCTAAACCTCCATTTGTTTTTCTTTGCTGTCGCAGAATAGCTTGGCTTTACTGATGTAGCTCGAGGTTATATACTGTTGCGCTTTCTATTTTCTGCCATAATGTCAATATTCATGGCATTACAACAGGAAAATGCTGTTAGCAAATTAACTTCAGCCATGCTACATTAGCTATTAGTGCGTGGCTATGGTGTTAACTTTGCTAGCTAGCAACGTTAAAACAGTTTAAGCTGGTGAACTTTATTGTTTAGCCTATAAATGGCTAATGTTAATCTCTTAAAAACCTTGATTACACGAAAAATAAACAACACATACCCAAACTACATTATCATTACCTATGTTTTCATAATCAAAATAGCCCAAATAAGACTGAACACAGACATTTCCAAGAGGTGTATAAAGGCCAGTCTATTTATAGTCCCAACAATGTACTGATGAAGATATGATACAATGGCGAGTTCGATTGATGGCGATGCTACAGCCGTCCGTAGCCGGGAGTCCAAGAGAGCACAGCTGGCCTCGGTCTCTCTGGATGGGTAGGATGGCCCCCCCTTCTCCCCCCATCACTCAGTGTGGCGCTAGTCAGCGCAGGCGTCTGTTAGCTGACGTAACAGATCTGGTGGTTGGTGTTTTCCTCCGAGCGCGTTCGGCTGTCCAGTGACGTTGCGTGAGCAGTAGTTCAAAAAGAAGTGGTGGCTGGTTTCACAGGTCTCGGAGGAAGCCAGTGCTGCCTTCGCCCTCCTAGCGTTGATAGTATCGTGTGATTGGGGTGTCCTAACTAGCGTGTGGAATTGGAGACGACTAAATTGGGGAGAAAATCGAAAAAAAAAAAAGATATGATACAATAGTAGATAATTCACTCACATCCTCAGAAGACGTGCCCTTCTCTAAGTTCGATTCCAAGTTCACTTTGAATTCTCTTTCAGTCATCAGATTCATCCTCTCAGGGAAGGCAGCCGAAGCACAACTCGTGGTACAAAGTGTTCTTCCGCACATTGCGTGCAGTTACACATTTCCGTCAGAGAGGTCTCCAAATCCCTAAAACTTACATAGTGTAGTTTTAAACATAGGTATTATGTTTTTTCCTTACGGCTAAATGTTTAACAGAGGGATGTATCTCTTCCTCTCTGCACACTCATGTTTGTTTTGGTGTCGTAAAGCTTTCATCACAGATGAGGTTCTGCAGAAATGTTGCAAAACGTTGCAAAAGCTGCAACTGTGTGAGAGTCAGTGGAGTGATGTGAGTGTTTACATCCAGATCTATCTTGAATAGTCCGATCAGTATCGTCCACATGTTTTAATCACACTGCGGTTTGGTTTGCTAAGACTATAGTCAGACCAGGACAGTCTAACAATGCTGTTTACTTGATCATATCTTAGACTAACAGTCTTAATTACGCTAATGCTGGACTACTGCTATGCATGTAAACGGACTGAGTGTGATCTTTCACTTTTAAATGAAACATAAATCATGTGAAATTAATAAAACACTCCAAATTTAGGTATTTTGTAAGCTGAGTTCTTGCGTTACAGTTTCTAATTAGGTTGAACTGTATTTATTCATGACAATATTTAAACACTGTGCTGTAACTGATGACCTTTGTGACCTCTGAATGAAGCTACATTATAATGATTAATAAACTTGAGAACAGTGTCAGTGTAGATTGTCAGCAGGTTTACTGCAGATCTGATCAGATTGATGATAAGATCTTGGTTGGATCTCTGCTGCAGGGCGAAGACGTGACGTACGCTTCTGTGTCCATCCAATCCACGAAACCTAAAAAAGGGTAAGAACTGATGGAGAACTGTAAATGAAACTGTATTTTCTATGTTCATTCAATATATTAATCTGTTTTAAGGTGCTAAAAGCAATTTGACCACACAAATGCATTTTGCTGCTCATAAATAAGCTTCTGTGTGATTGCAGACCCGTCGACCCTGTCCACCCTGTCCACCCTGTCCAAGACGATTCAGTTATCTACAGCGCAGTGAACACAAACTGATCACAGCTCCACACGTCATGTAACCACAAAGCGTTTGGGCTTATTTGGATATCTTTATAAAATCGCTTGCTGTGAAACCTCAGCTGTGAACCACTAGGCAGAAAATGTAAAAGAAACTTACTGAAACTTAAGCTCTGCGCTTTCTTATATAATGTAGTTGCTTCTTTATTTTAGTTTAGTTTTATAAGAGATATAGATTTTTTATGACCATTTCTTTTTACAGCCAGATGCTTTTTGGTATAAAAATGTACTGTACAAACAAAATGGACTGTAAGCATTAAAGTGTTTGCCTCCATGAACTGTTCCTGAGAGTCCTTCAACATCTGAAGAACCATGAGAACATAGCTAACTTATCAACAATGGTTAGCATAGGAACTGGAATTCACTAATCTTGGTTTTAGCAGAAATCTCGGCAGTTTCATCTGTGCCAAAGCACCAAAATGGAAAAGTCGGACACTTTGATTATGTAATTTAACTCTTTCCAACAGTGCTAGCACCTGCCCTGATAGCTGTTAGCAAGACTAGCCTAGCTACACATAGCGATGTAAAAAAAAGCTACAACCTATTAACAGTAAAATGGAGTCAGTTTACTTCAAATAGAATACAGAATGATTTTTATTTGTAAATTGAATGTTAAGTAGTTTCATATTTTGTAGTTGCAACTTGTAGGACTAGTTAAAATAGCTATCGACACTTAACAATGGTAGCCAACTAGACATTACATTATTAGTGGTAATTCCAGAGAACTTGTAGAGAGAAGAATTCACTCTATAATGTCTTCTGGGTTTCTCAAACACTAGAGGGCGCTCCTGAGCGAGTCCAAAATGAATGGGTTAAGATGGAGCATTTGAGCAAAATCATAGTTTATAAATATTTAAACATTTTTAATATAAAAAGACTACATTCATTTCCTGAATACAGAGCAGTATAAAACATTTTTACACTGCTGTTATATTTTTAAGAGCTTTTAAACTCGAGTTATAGGAGTTTAAAACGGTGCCTCGTGTACATTCATAATGTCAGTGAGTACGAACAGCCAATGAGCGGCTCCGCTCGCCAACCAATCAGCACTCAGTAGCAGTAATGTTAGCGTCCTGCTGCCCAAAACGCGTTTGCTGTAGAATAAAGGAAACATACAGGTGAGTTTTCTTTGCTTTTTTAGTGAAATCCATCCTTCTGCTGTCTAAAATTAAAGGAAAGTTCTGGGCGAGTGATTAGAAACTATTTTAACTTTTCCTTTTTAGCCGTTTAGCTTCACTTCATTGAGGACTCGCTCGCGGGCGCCCTCTGGCGTTTTGTAGTCCTTTTTTTGATAAAATAGGAAGAGGCCAGGCTCCTCATTAATCCTCCTCTCTACAAGTTCTCTAGTATTATTTTCATCATAGATATACATACCTAGATGCCGCGTTGGGTCCAGCCAGGCACGTCAACTGCGCCGCCATTTTAGGGCGGTCAACATCGCTGCTGGACTGCATTCAGTACCATTACAGAGCGGCAGTTTAAGAAAGATACTGTCAAAATGACACTATTTCAGGAATATTACACTCAGAAAGTGGGACAGGATTATATAATGGAGGGAACGCAGCGATCCACACTCATGTCTGTGTGATGCGCATTGTTTGTGTGATGTTTGTGTAGATATGTTTGTGTGGTTGGTGAAGCACAGAGAACCTGTTGATGTGATTGTTTTTCCTCTGGTTTTATATTAAGCTTATTTCATTTAATAGTCCTTACACTCCTTAATCCGTGTAGATATTTTTAATAGAGTAGCACCTTATTATACGAACCTGAAGTTAGGTTCTTGTTTGCCAGCTACTTGTTCGCATTTTCCAGTTCCACCTTAAATGGTGCAGCTTCAGGCACCAGAAAGTGATTGCTGCACCATTTAAGGTGGAACGGGAAAACTCGAACAAGAAGCTGGCGAATAGGACGCCAACGTAGCTTCGTCCTTCTGTGTATAAAGATTAGAAGTGATTCACACATTGATGGATTTGCTGATTGTGTTTTTACCAAAGCGCTAAACTGACGTCAGGACCAGACTGAAAACTTTCCTGCTGGTCCGGACGGCTAATTAGCACGATCAGTTATTAAAGTAATAAAAGCTACCGAGAGCAGATCCGTACAACCTGGATTAATCTGTGTCTGAGGATTATAACTAAACAGATTTGGTGAAAATCTGTCGAGTAATAAGGAAACTTGTGGCTGGTTTAATCCTGAGACTCATCGTCTCTCAATACAAGTGAATCTGTTCACAAGCGGATCTTGACCTCTCCAACATGGCGGACGGTCAGACGTATCGCCTCAGATCAGTGGTGGACAGTAACAAAGTAAATGTAATTCGTTTCTGTACTTAAGTAGTTTCCGTGTATCTGTACTTTACTGAAGTTTTTCCATTTTGGGTGACTTTTACTTTCACTCCACTACATTTCAAAGTCTAATATCTCACTTTTTACTCCACCACATTATGAGAAATCTGTCGTTCCTTTTGGTTTATGTGTGTATAAAAACATAACATGTCAAAACAAAAGAAGATCGAAGTAACAACACCAATCAGGGCACAGCGGTCACTTTGTTTTGAGCTTGTTTTGACCTGTTGGTCATACCGACCCAGTGCAGCACACGGTTCAACATCAGTGCAGCAGCGTAAAATTCTGGGAGAGTCTATTCAACATAAAGGATGAACAAACCTAACTTTGTGTAAATAGAACACAATATAGAAATATGTACTCATATGCAGTTGAGACTGACGTGACTTTTTTCTGAATTTATACAAACACGTTTAATTTCATAGTAAATCTGTTTTTGCTAGTTGGTTTGGAAACTGTTTGCCTTCAGTGTTTTGTTATGATAATTTTAATAGACATCAGTGTCACTAATTAATGACATTCTATTAAAAGAGTCTATTACCAGAGAGAGTATTTTCACCTAAAATGAGTTAATGAAGCGAGTCTTGTTACAAAAATTATAATAGAACATCAGAGCCATAATTAATCTTTTAGTACTTTCACTTTCAATACTTAAGTACATTTGAAGGAAATACTTTAGTACTTTTACTCAAGTGGAGGTCTAAAGGGAGGAACTTCTACTTTTACTGGAGTAATATTTTACCTTGGGTCTCTCTACTTTAACTCAAGTACATGGTTTGTGTACTTCGTCCACCTCTGCCTCAGACAGAGAACAACAGGTAAAATCTAAATATGTGTATCGAAATCTATGATTTTCATCAGAACGCAGTATTTTCCTGACTTTATCGCCGACTAGAGGCCAGAAACGACGGCAACCATGGCAACGACGCGACAACACGGAAGTAGACTCCACGGAGCAGAGCAGCCGGCCGCATAAACAAACACAGAGGTGCGTAGAGGAGAAATAAAACTACAGTAAAACCGGCTAAAATCAGCAAAAGTGTTCTTATTTTACTGAAATGGGGACTCGGGTAAAAATAGAAAGTGACTTTAGTCGAGTTTCAGGCCCGTAGGTTCCCTTATGCGACTGCAGAGGAGGCTCTTAAATTGTAATCAGTATAAGAACTGAAGTTTATCAGACTCTGTTCTACTTTTTTAGACTGTTTGGGTCTAAAATAAAACGCCACAGCTACAAAAATGAGAGGGGTGATCAACAGTAAAGCAGAACAGGCGCTCAGCCAGCACAGCAGAATTAAATTAAACCTAGAAAAGAAGGAAAAGTTCACAAATACACGTATATTTTAGTAGGAATGGAAGTGATAAAAGTAGAAGTGCTTGGAGCATGACGGTCACTGCTACCCACCTCTGCACATAAACCCTACTATTTATACTGGATTGTATTTAACTCCCCTCTCCCATAACTTGCATTGTTTCCCATGTGAATAATATGACATCACTAAATAATAAGGCTTTAGAACTTGGCCAAAATTTCCAAATTTCTGCATAATTCAGTGTGTGAGATGTAAACAGAGTGATTCAGAGAGGTTTGGAGTGAAATGGTTCAGATGTCTTTACAGTGGTGGTGATAGGAACCAGGAGTCACCATGACTACAACACAAATATAGACATTTTATTTACTATCCAGAACCACCAGTGAACCTACACGAGTCTTCTGAGTCTATATGGAATGTTGATGATGGATGATGTTGATGAAGTTTTTTAGGGACTATACTTGCCTTGCAGTGTCCTTCTCTGCTACGAATGGACAAAAAATTACATTTTAGGCCAAAATCTTCTCAAAACTATCATAAAACAGTGTCTCAGCCATCAGGCAGTGAATTCATAACCATTTCCTGTAGTAACTTTCTGTGAGGGAGCTTTTAGAGGTGGACGTCTGGTTCATTTAATTATGCAGCAATTTGAAAATTCTCTTTTAAGAGGCTAATCACTTCTGGTTTGTTTTTGAGCTGGAGTAAAGAAGTGGACAGCACTGGGAGTTCTGCTGTAGTCGACCTGCTCTGCACAGTTTGGTGTTTTCCCACACCTGGGTGCCATCATTTGCTAATGATCAAATCCTTCTGGAGCTGACTCAGGTGTGTAGAGCAGCATATCTCTAAATTAGAGACTCTATGATTACATATCCAGAATCAGAACAGGAAAATACCAGCGTGAGTGCAGGTGGTCTACAGCATTAGAGCTGGGAAGCACTGAAGTAGACCTAACAGTACAAAATGTACTTTCGGTTGCATATTCTTCCTAAATTCCCTTCGGCTAAAAATGCTCTCATCACATATTGACTTTCGCTCTCTACAGGGTCACCCAGTAGGTCGACATGCCTAAATTCCGTGAACTCGGAGCCCATTCTTCTCATCATTACCAAAATCCTCTGCCTCCTGGGCCTTGCAAGCTAATTGCCAGCAGATACGTCGTTCAGCAGAGCCTGGGGAGGGGCAGTTTCGGCTCTGTTTTTCTCATTAAGGACACCAAAGCGGCGCTGGGAGAAGAACTGTGAGTCATTCCTGAGCTCCACATCACTCCACAGCACAGCACACATACATGATCTAAAATAAGATTATTAAATCCACTGTACTGTGCAAATATCCACCCTTCATTTATCGGATTTCCACTCAAAATAGCCGTCAAGTATAATTTATTCATTCAGGAGATATTTTTGAGGAAATTAGATAAAAGATAATCCACTTTTATAAAGAAGGAGAAAGTCAAAGGAAAATAAGTGAAAAAAACAGGAGTTTCCAAAACTGGAGTTCAAAAAAATTATTAAAAAGAAAAAACGGGACTCCTAACAACCACCTGGAAGACCTGGTAGAGTAAATATCTCTGCAGATTTCTTTGAGAAACTGAAAGTGAGTCTCCTGAAAAGAATGGAAGCTGGAAAAAAGGGAAAGAGTGACACACTCAACACTCAAACATCTGATATTAGATTTAGTTGTGTGTAATTTTCTTTTGTATATGTTTTCTGCTTTTTTCCTGACACTGTAAAAATGAATAACTTGCACTTACTGGCTGTTACGACTGAATATTAAATAAATGGAAGGTGGTCTCTGACTTTTGCACAGTACTGTGTATCAAAAATAAAAAAAATATTTTACTTTTTTAGATTTAGATTAAATTAAATGATTATAATGCATTGATGGATCATTTTCCATCTTCCAACTATGTATATCTTACTTATTTTATGGTTAAAATAAATTAAAATGGATAGAAATAGTTTTGATAATCTTCTAAGCTTATTCTAATCTCATAAAGAGAAATATGACATTTGTTGTTGCTATTCAAGAAATTTGTATGTATTTTTACTCACTTAGAGCAGGTAAAATGTTGTGCCTGGTTCAGGGAATATGACTTTATGTTAAAAAAGGATCACAGATCGTAAAAACGTAGTTATAATAATTACAACATCCACAGTCTGTCAATAACAAGCGCACAAAGCTGTGAGTGCTTTAGTTTTGCAGCCACTTGGGGGCAGTGTTGCTCTTTGGAGCACCAGATCAACTTCCATCATATTTTAGGCTCCAAACTGTGATGGAATCTTTCTGGTTCTTTTGTTATTGTTTGTTATTGTACATATTCAGAAGTAGATGTGGGAATATACTTTACACGTCCACAGAAGCATAGAAATTGACTTTGAATATCTCAGAGTTAATATAATCAAATATATGCATATAGGACTTCAACCTATCTTCACTTTCTGCTGAATTCTTATAATAATGTACTGAAAATAGGCTAAAATAGCCTCTAGACTCATTAATTTAACTGCCCCATGTAGTTACACTGTCAGACTGAATTACTTTTCCATTTCGAGTAACAGCCAAGGAGAAATGTAAATCATCCCCACTCTCAGTACCTTTGAACAGGAGCTGCATGTGGAGCTCTGATGTGATTAACTGGTGTTATTACACCGTGTGCAGAAATGCATAATGCTTCTGCTTCAGAAGATCAAAAACATGTTTGTTAATTATCCAAGCAAGCACAAACGAACAAACAGGCACCAACAGTACGTTTGGAGGACAACAATGTTAAATATAAACTATGTAATTAGGTAATTTCTTATTAAACAGGCCACAAAGTCGCTCCACTGAGAGACCTCTACTTTCTGTTTTCTCATTATGACTCACACATTCATACTAGTCCACATCCTGCACTACAGAGACCACCCTTCATTTAGTTAATTCCCAGTCAAAAACGTCCATTAAGTACAAGTACAGCTAGATCTAATCTCAGCTGTGTGAGAGTTCAGTGTTCAGTGAGTCACTCTTTACCTTCATTACAGCTTCTGTTCTTTTCAGGAGACTCACTTTCAGTTCCTCAAAGAATCTGCAGACACACCTCCAAAGTTCAGTCTTAGAAGCTGGTTTAGCATTTAACACATTCAGTGGTGTTGAGGTCTGGACTCTGGGGTGGTCAGTCCATCGTTCAGCTTCTTTGTTTGATGTGTCCGTCTCCTTTTCTCAGTGAGGTTCTTCTTGAACAGCTACACATCCTTTCAGACCCACAGCGCTGAGTCGTCTTCTCACAGTGGAAGGATGGACAGAAACACCTGTGAATGTTGATGAAAGCTTTAGGTGCTGTTTATCTGATGGGGGCAGTTTTGGTGTCTACCAGGTCTTCCAGGTGGTTGTTAGGAGTCTTGTTTTCTCTGTTTTTTTCACTTTGACTTTCTCGTTCCTTATGGAAGTGGATTATCTCATATCTAATCTCTCCAGAAATATCTCCTGAAAAGTGAAGAACTTGTACTTAATGGCTGTTTTGACTGGAAATTCAATAAATGGGGGCAGTCGTGGGGGCAGTAGTGGGGGCAGTCGTGGGGGCAGTATTGGGCTGGAGGTTAGGGAATCAGCCTTGTGACCGGAAGGTTGCTGGTTCGATCCTCTGAGCCAACAGTACATGACTGAAGTGCCCTTGAGCAAGGCTCCTAACCCCCAACTGCTCCCCGGGCGCTGTGGATAGGGCTGCCCACCGCTCTGGGCAAGTGTGTTCACTGCCCCCTAGTGTGTGCATTCACTAGTGTTCACTGCACGGATGGGTTAGATTGCGAAGGTGAAATTTCCCATTATTGCACTAATAAGGGTCACTTAATCTTAAATAAAGGGAGGGGGGGGGCTTGACTTTGAAACAGTACAATAGGTGCCCTTTGTAGTTGCCATTACAGATTGTAGTCCATCTGTTTTTCTGCATAATTTAATAGTTCAGATGTAAACAAAGTCATTCAGAGTTTATAGACTTTCTTTTGAAATGAAGGTGTAAATAGTGAGTTTGTGCTGCAGTAACAGCCTCTACTCTTCTGGGAAGGCTTTACACTAGATGTTGGAACATTGCTGTGAGGATTTGATTGAGCGTTAGTGAGGTCAGGTACTGATGTTGGGTGGTCAGGTCTGGATCACTCCAACTAATCCCAAAGGCATAGGAAGGAGCTTCATCACTCCAGAGAACGCAGCTTCACTGCCCCACAGCCCAATGCTGGGGGGCTTTATACCCCTCTAGCCCATGCTTAGCATTGGGCATGGTGACCTTAGGCTCATGTGTGGCTCCTCCATCCCATTCAATTGGTCAGTGCTTTTCTATGAAGCACAATTGAACGCCTGTGTCAGCAACCAGAGGACTTCAAAGTAACTGAATCTGATTAAGTGCCACTACACGGCTGCGCTTGTATCCCGAAGCTTCCTGCCTCCCTACAGTCGCTAATGTGGAGTCCCGCAATGCACTGTAGCTCGTGACAGCTGGGAAGGAGGAGTGAAAAGAGGAGAAAAGGAGACCAATTAAGGGAAGCGCCCCACTGTAGTGGCTGTGGGATGATGGTGGTGGTGGTGGTGGGGTTTTCTTCCCTCTCTCTGCTTGTTACCGTCCTGTGGCCATATGCTGCCTGCTGACCTACCGTACGCTCTGGCCCCAGAGTCAGACCCGGCATGTGCTTTCTGACTTTGGAAAAAAACAGTAGTGGTCCCTGGCGTGCACGAGCCCCGCCCCTTTTGTCTCAAAATTAATACAGCACTTTTGGATGAGCTCTGAATGCTCTATATGCCGCTGTGAGAAAACTGCATAAGACTTAGAACTGAAAACTGTCCCTGGAGGACAGGCACAGTTTGGTGTGTCTGTTTTTTTAATGAATAGACTTTAAAACACCGGCCTGGTCTCACAGTGCTGCTGTTTCTCTGCTCTTCATTTTTTTTGCATGTCACTCTCAGTTTACGTCATACCACAGCGCCAATCTGAATTCAGAACACTTAATTTTGCCAGCGTGTGGGACAGTATTTCGCTCCTATTTGTTGATTAAGCAATAGAAGACGAGAGGGAGTGTGTTATTGTGAAATAACATCACGGCTCTGATTTTGTCGCCGTAGATCATCACAGCCATTATTGGCGATAACACACTCTTCGAGTGTTCTACTGCTTTTATACAACAGTTAAATAAATACAGTAATAAATTAATAAACTGGGCCGTGAACGCGGCGTTCAATATGTTTTAATGTTCGCAGTTCCTTCACCAAATTATAGTTCCAGTTTGTTCTCCAGCTCCACACAGACCAACTGACAGTTTGGGAATTTAGTGTCGTCTCATCTTCAGAGTCTGACCAAATCGGCTGTCGGTCAAATGTGATCTTAAAAGTGTCCATTTTCTGTTTGTGGCAAAGTAAGAAGTAAAAACGTTCAAATGGCTTGAGCGTCTCCTACAGCTGACAAAGTCGTTGCTTAGCAACGGCGTCTCAGCGGAGTGATACAGTGTTTGTGAAAAAGCTGTGACATAACAGTGTGAAATAACAGCACGGTTAGAACGCTTCTCAACCAATCAGCTTGCGTGGCCGGAACTAACTGTTGTATAAACATGACAATAAAGTTGTGTCATAATCTGCATTGCACTGCATTGTAAAACCAGTGTAGTTTGGTACTTGTACTAGTGATGGGCCGATCCACATTTTTTCAGTTCCGATCCGATTCCGATACACAACTGCCGATACCGATACAGATTCCAATACAAGAGCTCTTTTTACTTTAATATTACCATTATTATTGTTGATATTGTGTTTAAGGTTGTGTTTAAGGTGTTTAATCATCCAATCACTGAGCATATCTATGGGTGCTGCAGCTGAACTGCTGGTGTTTGACCCCCTGCTCTTTTTCACCTGACGCACTGCGCTCTGTAGTGCATATGTGTCAGAGTTCACCCAGTGAGAGACACTGGACTCACACCTGAGGACCAAATATCAGTTGTGAAGCTCATGTTTTTCTTGCTATTCTTTCTCTCTCTCCTCTCTACCCTCTATATTTCTTTCTTTGTTCCTTCACTCTTTTCTCTCTGTTTTCTTTCCCTCACTCTTTTTTTCTCTCTCACACACATTCACTCCTTTCTCCCTCTTCCCTTGCTCCTCTCTCTATTCTTTCTTTCTCTCTCTCTCTCTGTCTCTCTCTCGCTTTCTTTTTCTCTCCTTCTGTCACTCTCTCTCATCTTTCTATCTTTCTCGCTACCTTCATCTGTCTTTTTCTTGCTCTTC